CCCGCGCGCGCCCGCCCATCCGCGCGATTCCCGACGCGCGCGCGCAAGCCATGGCCGCGCGCGCAGCCCGAGCCCCGCGCGCAGCCGAGACCGCCTGCGCAGCCGAAAGAAACCTGCCGCGGGCCCGCGGGCCCCCGCGGGGGCCCGCCTGCCCTGGGGCCCTCGCGCCCGCGAGCGCATGGGCCGTCCGAGGGGGCCGCCTGCCCCGTGGCCCCACGGGCGCATGGGCACTCGCGGGGGCCCGCCTGCGCATCGGCCGTCGCTTGCTGTCCAGCCGCGGACCTGGGCGGACGGCGGGCGCGGGCCGTCGCCCGAGGGCGCGGCGGCCCGCCCAAGACGCGATCGCGACGGACGAGAGGCGGCGCGGCGGGGCCGCCCCGCGACGGCGTGGCAGGATAGAGTGACAGAGCGACTGGGTGACAGAGGTGCGGAAATAGGTCGAGCGCGGGCGGAGATAAGTCGAGCGCAGGGCGGCGCCGGGAAATTCGCGCGCCCGCCAAGCCGCTGGCCAAGCCGGGGAAGCATAGGGCATGCAAACCTTAACGCTGTCTTCCAAATCAGCAACGCCAAGAAGCAAGTCCGCGCCCGAATCTAACGCCGCGTCTTTCGCAGACTCGCCGGAAGCGCCAGGGTCGGCGCAAAGACAGCCCCACCTTGGAGAACCGAAGTTCGGCCTACAGTTTCCAACTTTCTAAACATGCCTAGCCGCCCCCCCCTTTTTCTGCCTGTCACAGCGCGGCCTGGCCTCCCGCAGTTCGCGCGGGCCATTAATTGCATCGTGGCGTGGCCGTTTAACTTCCAATAACACGATCTCCCCTGCGTCGCTGCGCGCTGCAATCGCAGGAAATGAGCTGCCGGCGCTGCCCGCGGCAGGGTGTGCATCGTCTCCTGGGCTTTCCCGACGCAAGCGCTTCGCGCTGCTGCTGGCTGCGCGCTCTGCATCTTCGCCGCTTCTACGTTGCTTCGCCAGCTTGGCAATCGTGAGTTGGGCATGTTGGCGCTGAAACTCTGCGCGCAATAAATTACTTGTTTTTGCAACGAAACCAACAACACGTCCAGGTAATTCCACTGCAAAGCGAAAAGAAGATTGAAACGCGAGATGAGTCGAGAAGCCAAATCAGCAAGGTGAAGCGTCATTTACAATTTCAGACAATCTCGCTAACGTGATAGCGTAAAGCAACCAAGCGGTCAGTGGCTGCGGCTTCCGAGAATGTGGGCGGCATGGCGGGCCAGAGTCGTTCCATCGAGGGCCTTGATGCCGCGAGGCCAAAACTGCTATGCATGGCACAAGGAGAGGGGCGATACATAGGCACGCTCGTGTAACTCCAGGGTTCGAGCCCCGGGATAGGGGCAACATTTACTAGGCAGTCATGCAAAACACACCCAGCATTCGAACCGCAGGAGAGGGGGAATCTATAGGCACACTCGTAAGGGTTCGAGCCACAGGAGACGGACAATCTGTAGGCACACTCACGAAAAAAAACACAAGGTTCGAGCCACATCAGAGGGGCAGCCTAAAGGCACAGACGGAAAAAAAAACACATGATTCGAGCCACAGGAGGGTGACAATATGTAGGCACACGCGTAAAGCACACAGGATTCGAGCCACAGGAAATGGGCAATCAATACGCACGTGCGTAAAACACGTAAGATTCGAACCACAAGAAACGGACCATCTATAGGCACATACGCAGTATCACAGGATTCGATGTACAAGGAGGGGCGATGTATGTAGGCACATACATAAACACCCATAATATTCGAGGCACAAGACAAGGGCAGTCTATAGGCACATACGTAAACGCACAGGGTTCGAGCCACAGGAGATGGGCAATCTATGGGCACAGACGCAAACACACACACACAGACGCACACGCACACGCACACGCACACACACACACACACGCATGATTCGAGCCAAAAGAAAGAGAGGCAACATATAGGCAAATACGTAAAACAGTATTCGAGCAACAAACGCACGTAAAGCAAGAGTCGAGCCCCAGGAGGGGGGCGATAGATCAGCACATGCGTAATACATATGGGATTCGAGCAACAGGGGAGGGACAATCTAAGGCACATGCGTAAAACACGTAGGATTCGAGCCACAGGAGAAAACCACTCTATAGGCACATGCGCACAAAATTGAGGACTCGAGCCACAGAAGAGGGGCAATCGAGAGGCACGTAAACACATAGAATTCGAGCCAAAAGAAACGGGCAACCTATAGGCACAACGTAAAGCACTCAGGATTCGAGCCATAGGACATGGGCAATCTAGATGCACATGCGTAAAATACGTAGGATTTAAGCCTCAAGAAAAAGGCAATCTACAGGACCAGACTACACACGTAGGACTGGAGCCCCAAGAAAGGGGCAATGCGCATAAACATATGCAAAACGTATGTGCTCGAGCCCCAGGAAAACGGCAATATATATATATATATAGGAACGTAGATAAAACACATCGCATTCGAGCCACAGTAGAGGGACAATCGACACGAACTTTGCAAAACACACGGTAGACTCCACGCGCTATCGAAAAACACGGAGTTCCAGCTCGGACCATCTTGCTAGATGCTAGATACTCTCTTGGGTGGCCTGTACATATGAAAACACATGGCTCCAGCTCGGGACAACCATGTCAGATACCTCCCCATGGGTGGCCCTGACACATAAAGACACGGGGCTCCAGCGCGGGACCACCATGTTAGCTATCCCCCCTGGCTGGCCTGGACATGTGAAAGCCGGCAGCGCCCCCAGCAGCGCACCCGGCAACGTGGACCCCGCCGCCGCACCTGTGAGACGCCCCCCTCCCCTCGGCCCTCCCCGTGGCGAGAGGAAATCGAGCCAGAACATCATACCGAGTCTCATTTCTGTATCTGGGAGGGCCGAAATCGAGCCACAACGCCATCATCATGTCTGAACCAGGTCGAGCCAGAACATCACAGGTGAGCCGCAGCCGCACACCTGGACCAAGTCGAGCCAGAACGCCATGGTGAGCGCTGCCGGCACATTCCTGGTCGCGCCGCCGGGCCGATGAGGCGCCTCCCCCATGGCCCCCCCATGGTGGAGATTCTGGTGAAAGGAATCTTTCCCCCATCTCGGAACCCTCTAGCGAAGCGCTAGTAGAGAAGAAGCACGTGGCTGCAGCTTGGCACCACCGTGTCAGGGACCCCCTTGGGTTAGGTCGGGCATGTCCCCCTACAGGCGGATTTTGGCCGAAACCTACAAGATATGGAAAACATGCACCATCATAGTCAATACAAACAATCGAAAAATCGTTCCCCGACGATTTTGTTTATCATTTTTGAGTTCTCCTCCTGTAGAGGGACACGCTCGACTCAACCATTTGGTGGCCTGGACAAGTGAAAATACATGCTGCGAGGGCTGGCATCGAGCCAGAACACCATAGTGAGCCGCATTCGGCGGTGGACAAACCTCCCTTTAGTAGACCTCCATGTACTGAAAACGGCCTACGACCGAAACCGACGGACCTGGACCCGCAAAAGAGACGGCCGCGACGCCCTCTCGCGAACCGAAAACGGTCGATTCGCTGATCGACGTGCCAGGTGCAGGAGGTCTTGTCCACCTCCGACGCAGCCCCGGACCACCTCGAGCCAGAACACAAGCAGCGAAAGCCGCCGGCACAGCGCCGCCGGGCCGACGAGACGCCTCCCCCCAGCCCCCCTTGTGGAGATTCTGGTGGGAGGGAATTTTTGACCCCCGTTCAAACCATCTAGCGAAACGCGATTGAATAAAGAGAGAGAGAGAGAGAGAACAAATAAACAAACAGAGAGCGAAAGCGAAATCAAGAGAAAGAGAGGGAGAGAAAACGAGAGAGATAGAGAGAAAAACATAACAATAAACAGAGAGAGGGAGAAAGAGAGGTAGAGATATCATAGAAAGCAACCGACAAGGAAGAGCGAAAGAGAGAGAGAGAGAGAGACATCTATATATATAGGAGAGAGAGAGAGAGAGAGAGAGAAAGAAAGAAATAAAGAGAGAGAGAGAGAGCGAGAGGGAGAGAGGAGGGGGGAGTGGGCAAGGGAGGGGGGAAAGAGCGAGAAACTGTGAGACATTATGGAGTGCGGACATGGCGAGGAAGCAGAAAGGGCGAGCGAGGGGAAGGCGATATGGAACCCTCCTAGTCCTCCAACGCTTCCTATTACTTCACCTCCTCGTGTTCCTTTTGTCCTCATCGTCCTTGTCGTCATCCTCCTCCTCGACCAACTCTCTGTTCCCCTTTGGCTTAACACCTCAGCCTTCACAAGGTGCGACCCAATCAAGCCAGGTTTTCCACATCTTCATCCTCCTCCTCCCCCTCCTCGTCCTCGCCCTTCTCATCCTCGTCCACCTGCTCCTCATCCTCCTCCTCCTCCTCCTCCTCCTCCTCCTCCTCCTCCTCCTCCTCCCCCTGCTCCTCCTTTCCTCCTCCTCCTCCTCTTACTGCTCCTCTTCCCTCTCCCCCCCCCCTCCCCCTCCTCCTCCTCCTCCCCTCCTCCCTCCTCCTCCTCCTCCTCCTCCTCCTCCTCCTCCCCTCCTCCTCCACTCCTCCTCCTCCCCTCCTCCCCTCCTCCACCTCCCCACTCCTCCTCCTCCTCCTCCTCCTCCTCCTCCTCCTCCTCCTCCTCCTCCTCCATCTCCTCCATCTCCTCCATCTCCTCCATCTCCTCCTCCTCCTCCCCTCCTCCTCCTCCTCCTCCTCCCCTTACTCCTCCTTTCCTCCTCCTCTTCCTCCTCCTCCTCTCCTCCTCCTCCCCTCCTCCTCCTCCTCCCCTCCTCCTCCTCTCTCCCTCCTCCTCCTCCTCCTCCTCCTCCTCCTCCCCTCCTCCTCCTCCTCCTCCCTCCCTCCTCCCTCCTCCCTCCTCCTCCTCCTCCTCCTCCTCCTCCTCCTCTCAATATCCCGGCTGCGGGGTTTGTGGGTGGGGGGGGGGTCGAAAAAGAACGAGGCCTTCCCCGCCCACGACCCCCACCCATCACTCGGGCGACTGGGCCGGGCACTCGCACACCTTCGCCATCTCCGCAGCGTGCGGGTGCTCGACGCACTGGCAGCGCGCGGGGGCGTCGCGCCCGCGCGCGATATCGCCCCTCCCCCCCCCCGCAAGAGGGCAGCAGCTCGCGGGGTGGCGGCCCCGCCCTCCCCTGCAGTGGGCAGGTCGGCGCGGCGCGGGTCCGCCTCGCGGGGTGGCCCTCAGCAGCAAGAGCTCGGGGCGGCTCACGGGGAGGAGGAGGAGGAGGAGGAGGAGGAGGAGGAGGAGGAGGAGGAGGAGGCCGCCACGCCTCGTCGAAGATGGCTCGCAAACCTTGTGATGAATAGGGGCGTGGTCATACTCAACAAACCAATTCTGGATCATGTGTGATGTACGAAGGTTTTAAGACATATGCACTTCACCAAATCGCCGCCGTAGCTGGAAGGCCTTGCGGAGCATGCACCATTCCCCCAAGAACGCAAACGGACAAGATGGTGTTTGGATATGCGCGAAGACCCGCAAAAAAAACAAGCTGGATGCCACTGACCCCGCCGACCAAGCACGCAATGTATGAGATACAGGCCCACGTCCATACAAGATCCGGCTGTGCTTCCAAAAACAAGCTTCTCCTTAAGACAAGCGGTGTTCCAAGCTGACGTCGGTATCTCCTTGAGGGTCGAACAGAACGCCCGAAAGCAACATGCGCTTCATTCGGTTAAGAACAGTAGTACTGAAGACCTGCACGGCGTGCTGTTGCCGATGGGTGGCGTCGCGCCGCCACTTCCTCCATTCCTCCTTCCCTCCCTTCCCGTCCCCACCCCCCTCCTTCCGTCCGTACATCCCCGCCTTCCATACCCCTCCTGTCTGAGGCGGATGCAAGTCTGTTCCCACACCTCATACGAACAAACAAGAGAACGCTTAGGCCGAAACAGACCCATCAATGAAACGCTATATACTGATTGCAACGGGGGTCCATGGATCAAACTCTGCAAGACCGGCCAAGAGCGCCCCGAGCTGATCCCCCGAATTCGCCGCAGCGGCAATTGAGCTTGATCTCCCACCGTGCAGACTCAATCCTGCTACCCTTCGACGTCCTGGGCCCCGGGCCAGAAAGACATGCTTCAAACAAGGAGATGCTTCCGACGGCTCTTCCGACTCGAGCTCGCCGTCCTCGCCCTCCCCGAGCGCGGCGAGCAAGACAGGCGGCACGGGCGACCGCTCTGCCGCCTTGGCAGCGCCGATCCGGCGGCCCTCTTGGACGGTCTTCTTGGAGTTGATGTAATTGGGGTAGAGGGTGTTCCACCTGCCCAGGGTGGCGCAACAGCACTCCTCCTCCTCCTCCTCCTCCTCGGAGGAGGAGGAGGAGGAGGAGGACGAGGAGGAGGAGGACGAGGAGGAGGAGGAGGACGAGGAGGAGGAGGAGGAGGAGGAGGAGGAGGAAGAAGAAGAGGAGGAGGAGGAGGTGGGGGGGAACGGCAGACGTCGCGGGTGGAAAACCTATCCGTATCTCCACGGCCTCGCAAGCCGCGCCCGTGGGCCGCGGTGCCGTGGATACCGTTGCCTTTCTGCGCAGATGCCCCGCGCAGAACGGATCCATGCCACGAGGTATTCCACGGGATCGCGCCCTGGAATCCAGACTGCGAGGGCGTGGATCGGAGGTCGATGGTGAGATCGATAGTGAGCTCGATCGAGTGAGATCGACAGTGAGATCGATAGTGAGCCCGAAAGTAAGATCGACAGTGAGATCGATAGTGAGATCGATCGTGAGACCGAAAGTGAGATCGATGGTGGCACTGATAGTGAGATCGATGGAGAGATCGATAGTGCGATCGATAGAGAGATCGATCAAGTGAGACCTTGCTCCTCCCCCTCCGAACCTCCTCCTCGCCCGAGGGGCGGTCGGAACAATGCAAGCGCCTGGTTCGCCGGCGCATGCGCTGACAATTCCTCGGGCTGGGCCCTCGATCGTGGCTCGAGTGTGGCGGGGGGAGGGGTGCGACGAGGTGGCGCAGAGAGCTCCTGGCGCAGGGCGCCCTTGAATGATGTCTGACGCTGTCATGTGCAAACAGTTTTGCGCAAGCGAGAGTTGCCCCCATATAGTTTACATGACACCAGAGAAAAACCAAAATTTCCTCGCGTCGCTTTCGCGCTGCTTGCCATGTGCCGTAGTGTGCTTGACAAGGCTGCAACTCCTAACTTGGGCGTATTGGTTGCGGAAGAGTCCGTCTTATGTTAGCGCGGGAGTTGTCTACTTCGCATTCAGTGTAGCCTGCCTTCAAGCGTCTGCCGAACATAAACTTCGTTCACGGTGGCTGGCCATAAATTGAGTGTGGATCGTTTGTTCGTCACGTGATGCGACTGGCTCTGGTTGAAACGCGGTACTGCGTACGGTGCTGCGCGTCAGTGAAGCACGTGACTCTGATGATGTGATGGTGGCGTGACTCTGCTCTGAAACACTGCGCTGCGGTGCCTTGCAGGAACGAGCGTGCACAGGGAAGCTGGGTAGAGTAGGAGCTGGAAAGTCATCCTAAGTTCAATCGTGGACTACTACCCTCGTCAAAATTAACCTCAAAAATGGTGACCACGCCCCTGCGATCCCTTCAATGTCGATAGACGCCCCTCCAACGTCGGAGCCAGGACAAAAGTGGCCTGACCGGGAACGACTCGGAAGTTCGATGATGACCGACATTGAAGGGGTGGCGTATACAACAAGTACCTCGCAGTCACCGCTACTCTGTTCAGTATCTCCCCGCAAACAGTTCAGCCACGTAAGACATGTTTGAAGTCAACATTGGCGAGGGTTGCAGGCAAAATCACATCTGCGCCGATCTGTCCTGGTGTTCGGCGTGCTTCGCCCTGCGCCGCTGCGGGTGCGACCTGCTCTGCCCTGCGCCGCGCGGCTTCGCGGCAGGCGTGCGGCAGCGAGCGCCTTCGCCGAATCGGGTGCGCTGCGCTCGCCGTGCGCCGCGCTCTGCTGTGCGCCGCCGTGCCGCTCCGCGCGTCGGGCCGCGCAGCATGCTCCCGCGCTGCAGTGAGTTGCTACGGGATGATGACGATGATGATGATGATGATGATGATGATGATGATGATGATGATGATGATGATGATGGTGGTGATGATGATGATGGTGGAGGTGGTGATGACGATGATGGTGATGATGATGATTATGATGATGATAGTGATGCTGATGGTGATGATGATAGTGGTGGTGATGGTGATGGTGGTTGTGATGGTGATGGTGACGGTGATGGTGATGATGATGATGCTGACGATGGTGGTGCTGCTGCTGATGATGATGATGGTGGGTGATGGTGGTGATGATGCTGATGATGATGATGATGATGATGATGGTGGTGATAGTGTTGATGATGCTGCAAATGATGATGATGCTGATGATGATGATGCTCATGACGTAAGTAATCATCATCCACCCACGGTCAGGCGAATGGGGCTGGCCTCTTGACGTCCAGGCCCCCTTCGGAGTCCGACGAAGTCATCGCTCTCCTCGCGGCGCGGGAGGGCCAGGGGGTAGAGGTCTGAGTGAACGGCGGCATGACGGGCTGAACACACAGCGAATGATGGTTATCTGGATAGTTCTGGAAGGCACCGGAATCGATTTCTGTGAACAGAACCAGGCAAAACTCTAGGCACAGTGGGTCGGCAGAGCTCCTTGGGTCGTAATCATGCTCAGCTCAAATATGAGACGAAACCAATAGTCGATCCATCAGACGAGTTGACTTACCTCGTAGCTTGAGACGTATCAACAGCCCACCAAAACATGATCACGTGGGAAGCGCGCTTGTGCCTGGATTACATGCCATGCGCACACAGGTCGGCGGATATCTAGACCTGGATTCAGAAGCTGGGTGACCCCACCATGTGCCCAAGACTCAGAACTCGCGCACTGGGCGGTTTCGGGTGCGACTTGCAACGCTGCGAAATATACATCGCAGGAACAATCTCTCAAGGGAACCCGGCCCCGACACGCCCCCGCGCCTTGAGCGCCCTCGCGGGAGCTCGTGCAGCCTCCTGCCTGCGTAAGAGGCTGTGAGCCGAAACGCCGGCGTCCGCAAGACCCTGCGCTTCCTCCCTGCCACAGTCTGCCCCATCCCTCCCCCGGGGGCTGGCAGAAGTGATCCTGGCCAAAGGTGCTCGCCACCCCTTTCTGGAGCCCCCTGGGCCTCACGAGGGGGGCGGCCGCCCTGGGCCAAAGACTTCCCGGGCAACGCCCGGTCCGTCCCCCTCGTCCTCCTGGCTGCCGCTGGGCTCGGTCCTCCACCTGCTGGTCCCTCGCTCCTGCGAGTCCCTCCCGAGCTCTTGCCTCGGCCAGCACTGCGTGGGCACAGTCCACCGGACGGGCTGCCCCCGCACTGCGCACTTCCCAAGCTCTGGGCGCGCGGGGGCGGCGGGGCAGAGACGGCGGGGGGGGGGCCGGCACGGGGGGCGCGCCCACGGCCAGGCGGCAGAGCCAGGGGCCACCCCAGAGGGGCGGGGGCGGAAGCAGCCCGCGTGCGCTACGACGTGAGGTCACACGCTCGTCTCGGAAGTTGTGGCTGGGGGGGGGGGAGGCGGGGGCACGGAAAGCCTCCAAGACCGCCGAAGACCGCCAGGACAGCGGCAAGGCATCCACAGCGGGCGGGGAGCAGAAGAGCAGACCAGAAGCCCCGAGTGCTGTTGCGAAGGTTCTTTTTTTTCCGAGGGGGGGCAGGCGAGAACGCACTGCTGGCCGAGGAGACGAGAGCGCGCGTTGCCGCTTTCCAGTGGAGGGAGGAGGGAGAGGATGGAGAGGATGGAGAGGTAAAGGGAGGAGGGAGGAAGGAAGAAAGAACAAACAAGCCCGCGGACCGCGGGTCTCGGGCGTCAGCCAATTCTGCCCTCAGGAGAGAGGAAGGCGGAGGGGGAACGCAGGCGAGGGGCCTTCCCTCTCCTCCCCCGTCCGTCCCCCTGGAAGGCTTCACTTCTTTCCGGGGGCGTCTGGGCGTTTTCGGCGGTCGAGGGGCGTGGTTTATCTCGTACGATCGGGGCACGTCACTCTCCGGCTTCCAGGGCCTGGGCCCCGCTGCTTCCAGGTCGTCGTTCGTTCTGGAAGGCCGGGGCCGCGTCTGCTGGCTTCGCCCACTGGCCCCCGTCCCCCCGCCCGCCTCCCCGCCGCTCTCCTCTGTCGCTCCCGTCCCCTCTGCCTTGTCCTCGCCTCCCCTCTCCTCCCCTCCCCTGCCCGCGTCCCGCTTCCCGTCCCCGCACCGTCCCGCGTCGGTTCCCCCCTTTTCCCCCCTCACTCGACGTCCTACGTCCTCCTCTTCCTCCTCCTCCTCATCGCGCTCGTCCTCGTCCTCCTCCTCTTCCTCTTATTATTGCTCTTCTTAATATTATTCTGATCATCAGTATTATCATTTTCGTGTCTTAGTATTAGTCTGATAAATATTAGTTCACTCTTCTTTTCTTATCATTATCATTCTTCTCATTCGCATTATTATATGGATCCTAGTTTTCCTTCAATTAATATCATTCCTCCTCCTCCTCCTCGACGGCACCCCGAGGCCAGTCGGAAGGACGGGCTGGGCGTTTCGCCTGAGGCTTCCTTACCGCTTCTGCTCATGAAGCATAGCAAACTGCAACAGTTTCACACATGGAAGGCGGGTCGCTTCCAACATGTGGCTCTCGCTTTATCGCAGCACACATTCAAACGCTTCACGGATTGAGGGCGGGTGGTTTTCAACATGTAGCTCTTGCCTTCGCGCTGCGCACACTCGTCTTAAACATTTGCAAGAGCTTCACTGATAAAGGACAGGTCGTTTTCAAAATGTGGTTCTCGCCGTAGCGCCGCGCACACTCGTCTTCAAGATCTGTAAGGATTTCACGGATTGAGGTCAGGTCGTTTTCAAAATGTGCGTCTCGCCTTAACGCCGCGCAGATTCGTCATCCAAAGTGCAAGATTTTCACGGATTGATGGCGGTTCCTTTTCAAACTGCGGCTCCGCCTTAGCACCGCAGTCACTCGTCCTAGATGCAAGAATTATACGGCTTCTCATGGTTGACATACCAGCAACGGTGTTTTGGAACGATTCATGATTGTCAGGGCACAACAATTACATTGATTCCCGGTGCTGAAGTCCCAGGAATGGTGCTATGGCGAGATTCAGGATCGTCAGGACGCAGCAGCCTTGTTGATTCGTGGATTGGCATCCCGCGAGTAATGTTTCGCGACCAATCTTCAAGATTTACATCTTTGGTGAATTCCGGGTTATTCCACCAGCGTTGATTGTGTTGGGTTTGCACTGGTCTTCCTCCTCCTCCTCCTCCTCCTCCTCCTTCTCCTCCTCCTCCTCATCATCATCATCATCCCCATCCCCATTCTTCCCTCCCCCACACCCCTCCCCTCCTCCGTTTCTTTTTCCTACAAGTAACTCCTCCCTGTCGCGCTCCCAGACGTGTTGTTAGGGCGAGCCGGGCGTTTCGCCAGTGAATTCCTCACCATTTACGATACGGAAGCTTGGAATTTGCAAAATGTGCAACATGCTCAAGGATGGAAGGAACCGTTTCCAAAACGGACCACTCGCCTTAGCGCCGCGCACATTCGTCCTAAAACTTGCAGCAGGCTCAAGGATGGAAGGGTGGTCTTCAAAACGGCGCCCACGTCTCAGCGCCGCTTCATTTTGTTTTTTCTCAACGTTGCAACTATTCGCCGGCCCAGCGGGCCAGAGGCGTGCTAAGATCTCCAATAACAGGCTACAGGTTAACACTATTTCTAGTTCGCGCGCGCGGGGCGGCCCCAAGCGAAAAGTACACAAGGAGACTCCCGCCAAGGATGCCAGACCTCCTGGGGGCGGTTCTAGGGCCTTCCAGAGCGCTCCAGGAGCGCCCCAAGGAACCCCAAGGGAGCTCCAAGAGAGCCCAAGAGTCTGGATCAATGGGTGGCAAACCCCAAGATGGCCCCAAAAACTGCCCCAAGAGGCCCCAAGACAGACCACCGTGAACTCCCCGACGTGCCCCCCGCACAAGCCTTTGTCCTGACGGACGAGGCCCTTGTCCACTTCATCCGCTGTCAACCATCGCGTCGAGCTGGAGACTTAGAGGCTGGACCACCAAAGAAGCCAAAACGCTCCCCGACGGAGTCCCCCGCCTGTTCGCCCAAGCCCTGCGGGCCATGCAAGCGGTGGGCAAAGCCTCGGGGCCTCTCCTGCACATTCCAAACCCCTGCCTCCGAAAAGGGCATGAGCAAGCGGCCTACCGACCAGCGCCTCCTTTCCGCGATGTCTGTCTGGATGCGTGCCTGGGGCCCCCCTGGCCTACCGCAATCTGGCGGCTTGGCGGTCTCGCTGGGCCCGCCCCGCTAGCTTCGGCACGGCCCCGCGCGCCGCCATGGGCGACGTCGCCGCGCCCCTCGCGACCCAGATCGAACGTGCCCCTCTGCCCCTCCTGCCTCTCGCGGGGGGCACCCTCGACCGACGCCCATGTTTCGACTGCCTGATCGCGGACGCCTGCCTCAACTCGGCCATTCGCGCGGGCTGCCCCCCAGACATCGCGCGGGTTCGGCGGGTTGTCCACGCGCGGCGCGCCCGCGACATCAGCGCGGGAGGGAGGGGCATGCTCGCTGCCGCTGGCGCGCGCCAGAAGCCACCTCCGAGGCAGCTCCTTCTCGCCGGGCGACGTCGAGCTCCCCGCGCGGGTCTGGGCGAGGCGGCGGCGCAGAAGCGTCAGGCTCAATCAGCACCAACTTTGCGGATGACAGCAACTGCGCGGCCCCCGTTGCGGCTGTGCCGGGCGCCCCCCCTGAACCGAACCGCCCGCTTCGACCAGCTCTCTGGCCGGGAGATCCACCCGGGCAGCGTTGCCAGCTGGGCCCTCGGCGACAAACGATCCCGGCAGAAGTATGCCCTCCTTCTGAACGGCCAGCCCTTGAAGATTCATCGCAAAAAAAAGTGTCCACACCCATGGCGGTAAGGCGATGCAACATGATAACAACCACAACTAGGAAATTATCCCGGCAAAGCAACCTAACAGCGATGTGTAGAAGCATATATGGAAACATTCCCCTTAAGATCCAGATGAGAATCCAGTTGTAGAATTCTCCTGTTCTCGCAGTCGCAGTCGCATTCGCGATGACAGTCGCAGTGGCAACGGCAGTCACAGTCACAGCCTCAGCCTCAGCCTGCCTCAGTATCAGCCTGCCTCAGCCTCAGCCTCAGCCTGCCTCAGCCTCAGCCTCAGCCTGCTTCAGCCTCAGCCTCAGTCTGCCTTCAGCCTCGGCCTCAGCCTCAGCCTGCCTCAGCCTCAGCCTGCATCAGCCTCAGCCTCAGCCTCAGCCTGCCTCAGCATCAGCCTGCCTCAGCCTCAGCCTCAGCCTGCCTCAGCCTCAGCCTCAGCCTGCCTCAGCCTCAGCCTCAACCTGCCTCAGCATCAGCCTGCCTCAGCCTCAGCATCAGCCTGCCTCGGCCTCAGCCTCAGCCTGCTTCAGCCTCAGCCTCAGTCTGCCTTCAGCCTCGGCCTCAGCCTCAGCCAGCCTCAGCCTCAGCCTGCATCAGCCTCAGCCTCAGCCTCAGCCTGCCTCAGCCTCAGCCTGCCTCAGCGTCTGCCTCAGCCTGCCTCAGCCTCAGCCTCAGCCACAGCCACAGCCTCAGCCTCAGCCTCAGCCTCAGCCTCAGCCTGCCTCAGCCTCAGCCTGCCTCAGCCTCAGCCTCAGCCTGCCTCAGCCTCAGCCTCAGCCACAGCCTGCCTCAGCCTCAGCCTCAGCCTGCCTCATCTGCCTCAGCCTGCCTCACCTCAGCCTCAGCCTCAGCCTCAGCCTCAGCCTCAGCCTGCCTCAGCCTCAGCCTGCCTCAGCCTCAGCCTCAGTCTGCCTCAGCATCAGCCTGCCTCAGCCTCAGCCTCAGCCTGCCTCAGCCTCAGCCTCAGCCTGCTTCAGCCTCAGCCTCAGTCTGCCTTCAGCCTCAACCAGCCTCAGCCTCAGCCTCAGCCTGCATCAGCCTCAGCCTCAGCCTCAGCCTGCCTCAGCCTGCCTCAGCCTGCCTCAGCCTCAGCCTCAGCCTCAGCCTCAGCCTCAGCCTGCCTCAGCCTCAGCCTGCCTCAGCCTCAGCCTCAGCCTGCCTTGCCTCAGCCTCTGGCCGGGCATTCAAAATGTGGCCCGGGAATGGAGTTCTGGGAACTCGAAGAGCACGAAGTGGCCTACAGTTGGCTCCGGGCATTCAAAATGTGGCCCGGGAATGGAGTTCTTCGAAGAGCACGAAGTGGCGGGCATTCTGGAAGTTCTGGGCTCGAAGAGCACGAAGTGGCCTACAGTTGGCTCCGGGCATTCAAAATGTGGCCCGGGAATGGAGTTCTGGGAACTCGAAGAGCACGAAGTGGCCTACAGTTGGCTCCGGGCATCCAAAATGTGGCCCGGGAATGGAGTTCTGGGAACTCGAAGACCACGAAGTGGCCTACAGTTGGCTCCGGGCATCCAAAATGTACGCCGGGAATGGAGTTCTAGCAGCGCCAAGAGCGATTTTGCGAGGATGTCCCAAGCGATTTGGGCTTCGACGGCAGCCGCCCCGGGTCCCGCCCGGACCCCCCTGTGGAGTCATCTGCTGCTCTGTTTTGACACCACTAGAAACCTATTAGTCTTCGCTGTTGGGTAATACCCTTGTTTCGCACCCCTCCCCCCGAAACCAAAGTTGAAGTGTCCGCATTTTGTCCCTGGCCTGTGGCCTGCCACCTACACCCGTCAACTTTGGATTTGGGGGAAGGGGGGTATACATTCTAGTCCGACGTGCTTTGATAACTCAAGGTCTTGGCGAGACACGCGTGGACACTTTTGGTCCACCCACAGCAGGTAAAGCCCGTCGGCAGCTGCATCAGCGCGGCACCAGCCCCGAACCCAGCGCGCCTCACCCTGCCCGCCGCGGCCGACGCCCGCGCCCGCCGAGAGGCCGGGAGGCCCCCGCGCACAGGCCGCCCTCCCGAGGGCACCTGCGCCAGGGCCCGGTCAGCCCAAACCCTGGCGGCCACTCGGCGCAGCGAGCTGATGCCCTGGCTCATGTTGCTCCCATCGCACTTGGGGGCCACATCTCTCGAGCACCCAGAGAGGGATCGAAACGGTGTCGATCGAGCATCGCCTCCCAAAGCCCGACACGTGAAAACCCGTAAGTTTCGGTAGCTTCTTGGTGCTCGAAGTTCTTTCTGGTGGTCAAGGCTGCAGCAGGTTGGAACATCATAAGCCCTGGCCCTCCTCCACCTGGCGGCCACGGCTGAAAGCCTTGTGCGCGTCTTCGTTGACATGCCGACGATGGTCGACAGAGTTGCAGCCCTCCTGGCAAGCATTCCTCCCCCGCTGCCCGGGTCCACTGCTGGTCTCTGGGGGCGCGGCCGCCGCGCAGCGCAGGTCGAGCCCGATGTCTTCCGCGTTGGGCGACACTGGCGGGGCCCACCTAGGCGACCGAGGGATTAACGACGGCCTTATCACGATCGCGGCGGAGGCCTTCAACCGACGTGCTGACGAGCTCGCCGCGGCAGGCGCGCGCCTCCACCAGCTGCGGCGGGGCGGGGCGAAACGGCTGTGCTCCAAAGAAGGGGGCGACCTAGCGTAGCGCGCCACCCTCATTCCCAGCAAACCCAGGCTCTTAAGAAGGGATATGGTTTTCAATACAACCCCATTGCGAAGCATGTTAGGACCATTCCCCATCTTTAAACGGCGAAGTTGGGGGTGGAGGGCGAGGGGGGGCCGAACGTTCTAACAATGGTACATACGGTTGGTATGAAGCTCGTTCCGATATCATCCTGCTACGAAGTCCGTGACGCCTTGGCCAAGACGCGCAGCTCTTGCGCTCGACTCGGGGAGCCTTCTTGGGCAGCGGAGATGGAATCTCCGCTGCCCAGGGAGGGTAATTAATACATAAGGGGGCCGCGATGATGCACGACTCTTCTTCCCGGCAAATCTGGGCTCTGAAACAGGGGCCGAATTGTAAACTCAACCCCATTTCGGAGACATATTAAGATCCATCACCAGCTCTGCTGCCCAGGAAGAGTGTTTTATACATTGCCTAAATCTACCCTTCCCCACGCCACGCCACGTTGGCTGGGGGTGGGCTCAACACAAAAAAGCACGTTTCCCTGCGAGGCACGCCAGCTGTAGGGTGGGTGGGTGCAAAAATAATCAAGCGGATTTTCCCCGAGTTCGCGGGGAGGGGGGGCGTAATGCCACACGGCCCACTCGTGATAATATACTACACAAGCGTACTCTTCCCCGCGCCGCGTCTGCCGGGGGCGAACTCATCCAACAAAATCGAGCGGTCGAAAGGTGGGCAGGTTTCCCAGAAGCTGGCGGCGGTACCCAGGAGGTGGGTTCAAGAAACATCGCAGGCGGGTGAGAGGCGAACGGATTTCCCGACGTTGGCGGTGGCCCCCAGGGTGGGTCATTCGTAACTCAGCACAGCTTCCCCGATATATCTTCGGCAAAAGGAGTGAATCGGGGCGACAAAGAGGCGACGAACTGCTGAAAATGAGCCTGATGAGCCCCATGAGCCCTCCTGCGAGTGAGGAGAACCAAGCCTCAAAAAAGAGTCAGAAAACACAGCGGGTGACACGTGTCACCCCCAAAATTGCGTGAAAAAAACAATTCTACATTCGGGAACCTGGGAGCCAACATGGGGTCAGTCAGCCTCAGAAACGCACCGGGTGACACGCGCCACCACCGAAACCGTGTGAGAAACTACAAAACGATGTTCCATACATAGTGCGGCGGTGGTCATCTACGACCGTCGCCACCGCGCCATGCCTTTCCCAGACTGGCGGGCCGGGCACGCGAGGCGCGAACTTCACCGCATGGAACCCAACCCGATCACTTCTCATTTCTGGCAATCGTCCTCTCGGGGGCGCGCAAACATGGATTAGCGATCCGTGGATTTTGCGCGCGGTCGCCAAATCCATGGATCGGTGGAGGTGCCCCCTCGTTCGGCGGCGGAAACCCGCGATTTCCCATGGACACGGAACCCGTCGCTAACCCACGCCCCCTTGATCCATGTTTGCGATCGCCTGGTCCTCCAGGCCCACCAGGGCCAGTGGGGACTTGGTCCCCCTGGCCCCCCCAGGCCCGCCAGGGCCTGACGACTTCGACGACCACTGGGGCTACCCTCCAGGGGACCTCGACGCTGACGACGACGACCTGCTCGGACTCGGCGGAGCCCTGGGCAACGAAGACGACGCGGCCGAACCGACCACGCATGCTTCACCCCGCGGCCCACCAGGGCCCGCTGGCCACCACGCACCCGCCCGACGAAGATCCATTCGATCTCGGCGGATCCCTCGGTATTGCCTCCAGGCCCCAATCCCCAGTGGGCCCCTGCCCGTCCCCCATGGGGCTACTGGAGCCCTGACTGTACCTGGACCCGCTCACAACCGCGTCCTGGGAGAGGACACGCCTGTGGGTGACCAGAGGTCGCGGACCGTCGCTAAAGGCGAGGGTTCACACTCGCCTGCGACGGGGCCGTCGCCCCAAGCCGCGCTGCTGGCCAGTTCCACTGAACTCCCAGCACCCCCCCTCCGTGCCTCCTGCCACCAGGCACAAGCCCCACCCCAACCCACCAGGGAACAAGCGACCTGGGCAGCGACCCCGCCACCCACCAGGGAACCGGGGATCTGGAAGAAGAAAAACGACACAAGAATAAACTTTGGGCGCTCCGCGCGGCTTTCTTGGATCTGCTCTGGACCCCCCTCCCTGGCGCGCTCCGCGCGCCAGGGGCGGCGCCCGGGGGGGCCCAGCGCGGATCCAAGAGATCCGCACGGAGCGCCTACAGTTTATGCTTGTGCCGTTTCTCCTTCTTCGAGGATCCTCCTAGGGCCTAAGGGGGGCGGCTGGTCGCCTCCCGACCGGCGCCCTGCCCATCGCACACTGCTTCGCAGCGGGCCGTCACCAAGCCGCCCGTGAGTCGGGCTTCCGTGCCAGCAGCACCGCGCGCCGCGCGCCCCACACAGGCGCTGCGTCGCGCCCAGGAGCAACCGGAGCATCTCTCCTCGCACAGCTCCCCCCATCGGGCCCGGCCCGCCTGGGACGCCAACCACGTGGTGTTTCCACTGCCTCTGCCCCCCCCAGAAGCCCCCCTCCACGAGGTCGTCCAGGCGCGATGTGATGTCCACCGCCAGCGCTACAGCCGCCAGCTCCTTTGTCACCCGCCTCCCGTAAAAAACGAAGGGCGCCACGTTGCACGGATCACGCGCCTCGGGCTGTGGTCGGGGGTGTCCCTCCTGCGACGCCGTCTTGCAGGCGCGCATGCCAAAACGTGCTGTGCCTGGGCCTCCTTTTCATCGTGGGGCGTGCAGATCGGGAGCGCCACTTCTGAATCCCCGTGCCCTGCTCTGCTTTCCAGTCGCAATCCCGAGCAGATCGCGCGGGGAAAAATTTGTCTCGACACCCCCGTGACGTATATGCGGCACCTCCTGCCACACGAGATGGCCTCCCTCTCCTCTGCCCCCTTCCCTCCTCCTCCCTCCTCCTCCTCCTCCTCCTCCTCCGCCTCCTCCTCCTCCTCCTCCTCCTCCTCCTCCTCCTCCTCCTCCCCCGCCCCCTCTTCCTCTTCCTCCTTCAGCCCGCCAGTCCTAGGGAGGAGTGAGAAGTAAGGAGAGAGGAGGGAGGAGGGAGGAGAGAGGAGAGGGAAGAAGGGGTGGAGGGAGAAGAGAGCAGGGGGCAGAGGGAGATATTCGGAACGACACGGCGTGAATCCCCGTCGGTGGCGTGCGCATCGGAGTGCAGCTCTTAGCGGAGACGATTGAGGTCAACGTGACAAAGCGACGGCAGCGTCAGACATCGTCAGACAGCAAGCACCCGCCACCAAGCCGCGAAGGTGCTGGCCTGTGTCGGGCCAGTTATGCCCAGTTCAGCCCTATTCAAAGCAAGCGTTAGGGCTCCCAACACCAGGGCTGGACCTAAACGTTGTGCGTTCGTTTTGTTTTCGTTTTGCTGTTCGTTTTGCTCTAACTGTTTTCCTGTACCTCCCTCCCGGCACGAAAGACAAAGCACTGCCGAAGTTCAGCAGAACAACGTTTAGGTCTAGCCCTGTCCAAACACGTCGATGCCTACGAGCGCCGTCTCGTGTTGCCCCCAACTCCATGTGCTTGCCTTACGGCTGGGCAGTGCTGCTGGAGTCGATCGAGGTTCACGGTGTGCACGTCCACAGACCCTCTCCCCTCCCCCCAGGCCCCCCCTTCCCGAGCCCCTTCCACGACGTTGCGTGCTGGCAAAACTGATATGCGCGGCAGCGCGACTGGATACCGGAACCGAACCTGCGCTGCACTATGAAGAGCTGAGCGAAGCGAGCACAGGCCAACATTTGCTGCGATGTCCTGCGTGGGCACCAGTGAAATGAGCGCGAAATGAATTGGATAACCTTGCGATGAAGACAAGCCGTGAGGGCAGGCGACCTTGAGTTGAAACCGAACTAGAGCAACACCGCGGAAATGACGCCATGGCCCGACATCGGGGCCCGATCCAGCAAGCATAGTAACGCTGTATCGTGCAGCTCAACAGAAGGCAGGTACGCTGGTACTACATGTAAGATCCATTGAAGTGCGAATTTCAAGCTAGTACGTATGTTCGCGTGTGGATAATTCAGCCTCTTCCGTTCAAAAGGGGCCAACATCCGAACATGCGTCACACCATCAACACAACAACACAATCATGTGGCATGTCTTTTTCGAAAATGTGAATGCGACATCGTGTCCCTCATTCTCCCATGAACAAGGATCTCGTCGGCGAAACAATCAACTCGGACGCGACAATGTTTACAGATCTGTTGCAGCTCCCCGGTCGCACGCTAGCATGAATTACGGATCCGTACATCTGGCACGCGGTCGCCAGATCCACGGGTCGGGAAGGTACCCCCCGAAACAAAAGGCCATGTTTGCGCTTCCTCGAAATCCTGCCCCTAGTTAGAACATGATCTGGGTTCAAGAGAGTTGGCGCGCTGCGACTGTCAAGTCAACTTCTTATCCTGACATCAACGATTCGGCAAAATGATACCAATACTCGGAACCATCTAAACCCTCTGCTGTCTCACACCGTGAAACCGCAAACCAAGACGGCGTCGATTCTTGGGAGGCAAGTCGGAAAAGGTATGCAACAAAAGGCCGCATCATCACGTTTCTCGCATGGCACCAACTTCCACACACGATGTACGCAAGGCTGCGACTACATCCGTAACATTGTGATTTGACCAGAAAACTCGGGGTGCGATCCGCAGCGTAGATGTGCGCACTGCTGGAAAAAAAAGATCTCTGTGAAACAGTGGCATTGCTCTTCCCTTCCCTCCTGCGAATGCCTTTGCTGCTGGTTGCGCTGATTCTGCCTGCGACGATGAATTCTGTGCATCAGCCGCATCATCATCCTTCTCCTCGGCTCGTCGAGAGGACTGCAGACCGCATTTGGCTCTGCGCTCCCTACGCCAAGACCCATTGATCTCATTTTTTCGCTGACCTCCGATCCGATCCTGAGCATCGTACTCGCCTCACCCTCCTATTTCTCCAGTGCATGGACAACATATTTGAACCCTCACACGCTTGAGGGGGATGATGTTCATCTCCCCCCCGCCCCCGAGATCAATGTTGATTTTGACACGGGTGGCGGCTTGGGGCCTCGAGTACCTCTGTCCACCCATGCCCTCTCCATTGCTGCACCCTCGATATTGATTTTGGGGGTCTGGGGGGGGGGGATATCTTGCGTCGCAGGGCTCGATCTTATTGTCCAGATGCGGTCCCCTCGTGCTCCTCGGCCTCCTTGGGCGCGAATAGACGGGAAGGCGATAAGTGGGGAAGCAGCGAGGGCTGCAGAAATGGAGCCCTTTGGGGGCCCCCAAAGGGGCCCTTCAGGGCCCAAGAGGGGGCCATTAGGGCCCGAAAAAACACTTCCCCCCCCCCCATGTATCGCGCCCCCCCAAATGGATTCGCGCCCAACCTCCTTCGTGCTCCTCCCGTCCGGCTCCGACCAGCCCCCGCGGAAGCGCATGCGCGGCGAGAGCGCGGGCTCAGCCCACTCTCCTTCGAGAGAAACCGCCGTCAGAACAAGCTCCCCAATCCCTGTACACGCGCAGCGGACCGTCTGAGGTCAGCTGCGCCAGCGCCGCCACGGCTGCGAGCGCCATTCGTCGGGGGCTGCTGGAAGTGCCCCTGGCCCAGGGTGCCCCCGGCTTGTCGCTCCAGTTTGGAGCCCCTGGGGCCCCCCTGGGCCTCGTGAGGGGGTGCTCTGGAGGGCGTGAGGTGGCCTCCTCGGCGGAAATCCTGGGGGCACATTAGGCCAAGGGCACTTCTAGCAGCACCCGAATCACCCGCGGCCGCCAACCTCTTTGGCCGGAACGTGACCCGGGCACGCGTGCAAGCCGAAGGGGCGTGAACAGATCAGGCTGTGGCAACAGGGAAATGGAAGATGGTTTCGATTGCACGGAGAAGAGCTCGCGATCGACGAGGACAAGCGATCAGTGGGAAGCGTGGGCCAGTCTGGATTGAGGCAGACCAGATCGGAGGCGGAGGGTAGCAGAAGGTGAACACCATGGTGGAACACCATGGTGTACGAGAAAGAATTCGACAGGGAGGGCAGTCACGTCTACCAGCGCTTACTACAAAAAAGGACAGGGATTCGAGAGGGCGATTCATTGGATACCTGTAGAAACATGTTGGACCACTACTCGGGCGAGAACTAGAAAACGAAAGATGGCCTACGAATGACGAGCCTGCCAGGGAGCGCGGCCCAGGGACGAGGATCCTGGGTCGAAGGAGCAGTAGGAGCAGGAAGGGAGAGAGGATGGAGCAGCGGAAGGGCAGATGGCAAAGCAGAGGAGATGGAAGAGAGAGATAGAGGGCAGAGATAAAGGGAGAGGGAACGAGTCAGAGAACAGAGCGAGAGTGCATCATCTCGTCTTCATTATCGTGCATTGCCCCATCCTCTGATCCTATGTTCTCTGCCGTGCCTTTTCTCTCCCCCTCTTCTCCCCTCCCCTCCTCTCTTCCGATGTTGACTCCCCCCTTCTCTCCTCTCCGATCCTCTCCTCTTGCCCTATCACGGTGCCCTGCCATACCCTCCTCTCCATTTCCTCTCCTCTCGTGCTGTCCTCTCTTCAATTTCCCCTCGCCGCCCCTCCTTTTACCTCTTCTCCTCGCCTCCCCTTCTCTATCATGTCGTCTCCCCACTCTCCTCTTGCATATCTCCCACATCTCCGTCGTCAATTATCTCCTCTCCTCCTCCTCCTCCTCCTCCTCCTCCACCTCCTCCTCCTCCTCCTCCTCCTCCTGTACCACCCTCCCTGCGTCTCTCGCTATTACTCCTCTCTCCTCTCCGCCCGTCTTGTCGTCATAGCCTCGCCCTTCTCGTTGTTTCCTCTGCTCCGCTGCGCGCTCAACTCCCACAGCATTCAGCAACACTAACCTCAAAAATGGTGGAGTGGACACCCCCCTTCGATGTCGCCCCCAGTCGCCCTTTCAGTGTCGCCCCTCTTCAATGTCGAAGCAAGGCGAAACGCGGTCGGAGCGGGTGCGACTTGGAAATTCCAGGATGGCCGACAATGGAGGGGGGGCGCCGCCAAATGTTTGGCACACAATGCCACCCAAACCCGGAACCCCGCATCGGCAAGGAGACTGCGCAACGCATGGTTGAGGTTCAGTGTTTCGAGGGTAATAGCCTCGCTGATCATCCCATTCGCATACTAATGTCGCTCTCGGTTGTCCTGTCGCATGCGTGATATGTATCTATATACACGCGGCATGGTGTAGATTCGACCTCATCCATGTCGATAACCCCGTCCGTGCGTTACCTCACACACATAGTATATATATATAGATGTATAGCAACTCGAATGCATTATATGACATTGTACGATGTGCTATGAAAAGATCGTGTAGGAAATTGTATTAATTAGCTGCGAATGTACAATACTTCATGCCAATACATTCCGTTGCATGTGGTTGCACTATATCTTAGTTTGTTATAGGCGTACTATGTTACACTGCACTATAATAAAATATAGTAGGTCACGCTCTGTCATATTACACCGTAGTTTCATACGGTGCTCTACTTAAATGTATTATGGTATAGCCTATTATATTACAGTATGATATATCAATGGAAAAATGATTAGACTTGTTTCGGTTAGCGCGAAAACGCCAGATCCAGAAATGGAAACATTGAACACTGGAATGACGGAATCATAGAAACAACTGAAGACAACAAACAGAAACGTAAACATGGAAACATGGGAAAGCGGAAAACAACACAAGGAGACGGACAAGTGGAACAATGGAAACATGGAAAAACGGAAACAACATGGACAAATGGAGAAACATAAAAAACAAGGACAACACAGAAATAAACGGAAAAGTGGAAAAGTGAAAAAAATGGAAAGGCAGGAAACAACATAAGGAGACGGGAAAGTGGGAAAGTGGAAAAAGGGAAAAGCAGAAAACAACAGAAAGGAGCGGAGAAGCGGAAAAGGGGAAAAGCGAATAAACATTTTCCCTCGTCCTCCGTCCTCCTCCGCCTCCAGCTCATCCTCTTGCCTCCTCCTCCTCCGTTTCCTCCTCCGCTTCTTTCCTCTTCGCCCTCCTACGCCAGTATGAACGAAACTCTTCATCCAGACAGTAAGACATCGGCCCTGAACCCCTCCAGGGCCACGCCTGGAAAAAAACGTCGAAAGGAAACGAGCCGTGGACGCGGTAATTTCTCTCGGAGGCCCAGAAAGGACGAAAAACACCACGACAATTCAAGACCTCCCGAAAACCTGGATCCTGCGCGCGACGGCGACGGCGGCGGCATCTCCGGGGACGGCGGCCGCAGCGGCGGCGGCCGGCCGCCAGCCTGTCGGGCAGCCAACCGTTCGGGTCCACGGCCGACCACGAGGGGAGGGGGACGGACGAAGGGCAAAGGACAAGAGGCGGATGGATGGATGATGGAGGTGGTAGTCAGAGGAAGTGACGTCATCCGAGCCCAAATCTGGGGCCATTGCAAGAATGCGCCAGTCGGAGCCGCAATTCCAGAGTGACACAGGACAGAGGGAGGTGGAGGAGGAGGAGGAGGACGAAGGGCAAGGGAGGGTGGGAAAGAAGTGAGGGGGCGCCACCCTTCCTGGAGGAGACGACGCAACGAGCTTTCACGGGAAAGCGCTTGGAATCGCGATTTCCCCACAAAGTAAAACGTAAATTCCGATAAAACATTCAAGCCTGCGTTTCTGAAAAAGCCGGCTGTATTGAATGAGACGAGCCGTGGAGCCTCCTCCTGCCGTCTGGAACCGGTCTTGGGCCGTCTTGGAATGGGTTCGGAGAGCCTCGGGCCTTCTGGAAGCCCCTCTGGCGCCAAGCCGTCGAAGAGCCGTCTTGGCGAGGGTCGAAGATCCAGGTTCGGTCGAGGGTCGAGGATGGAGGTTCGGTCGGGGATCAAGGATTGAGGATCGGTCGAGCCTGGGAGATCGATCGAAACCCGATGTTCGGAGCGAGGGAAGCGGAGGAGCGAGGGATGACGAGGAGGACGAGAGGGAGGGAGGAGGACGAGGGAGAGGAGGAGGGAGGGAGGAAGGAGGACGCTGAGGATGAGGACGGCGGGAGGAGGGAAGCAGGGAGGAGAGAGGTGTGGGGGGGGAGGGATATCAGGAGCGTGTTCGACTGTCCCCAGGCCCGACAGCATCCTCAAAAGGCAGGCCGCGCTCAGCCTTTTCGGGTCTTCTGAAAAGGTCCTCGTCGCCCTCGGCCTCCTCCTCCCCCTCTTCCTTCTCCTCCTCCTCCTCCTCCTCCTCGGCCTCCTCCTCCTCCTCCTCCTCCTCCTCCTCCTCCTCCTCTTTCCTCCCCCTCCTCCTCCTCCTCCTCCTCCTCCTTCTCCTCCTCCTCCGTCCGTAGCCATTTTGGCTCAAGCGTTCGCATGCCTGGTGCGCGCCCCGCCGTCCCCGCGATGGCCGCGCGTCGGGCTAGAGGGGCTCTGGATCCCGCGACGGCTGCCCGCCTCGTCGAGGCGGCCGTGCGCGGGGCGTTCGGGGCTCCGCGGCGCACGGTGGCGGCGGTGGCTCGCTCGGCGGTCTCGGCGGCGGCGTTCGCCGTCTCGGGATCGCCACCGCCCGCCGTTGCCGCTGGCACCGACCTGGTTCAAGGTGTTCGTCCTGAAGCTGACCCTGCTGCGCGCGCTGCGCGGCGGCGCCGCTGCCGCTAGCGCCGAGCGGCGAGGCGCGCGGCTGCCAGGCTGGAGCGAGGCGAAGAAGGAGGACGCTGGGGCGGCCGCTGGGGCGGCCAGCGCGGGCCTCGCGCT